ATGTCTTTCGGACTTGGCATGGATAATACGGCGTTATGTTTGGTGTTTGAATCCTCGTTTGCCACAGCTTCTACTGCCGTGAATAATCTATTCTATATCTGTTGTATTGTTCTGACTGAGCCACTTTGGCTTATGCACACCTTCCGGCGAGATAGAACAAGCAATCTATGACAATAATTATGGTCCTTCGAGGTTGAGGGCCCAGGGAGTACTAAAAAATTTTAAACTTCCACTCTGTAAGTTCCTCGGACGTTATAATGGCTAAACTTGGCTCATAACGATAAAGCAATAAGCCGCTACATAGCTGAGTAATTAAAATTGGCTGGGTTCATCATCGAGGGTTTTACTATCAATGAATGTATTGGATAGCATATGGGACTTCACGTTTGGTGTTTGGTGGACATACGAAAATCTGGCGTCCACAGTATAATTAATATCTTCACGCAATATATCCGATAAAGCCCGTTCATGGTCTCCTTTATTTTTATCTATCCCTAACTCCGACCAACACAGGATGTAATTGGCATTAAAGCTATCATAGTTGGAACTTTGTCCTCTGCTTCTCCATTCCAGCCTTCCATTCCCATTCCTGCCCACTCGCCCTTTGGATGCCCTTGTCGATTCTTCGTAATTTCAGGGTAAACCGAGGGCTGTTCAACCATTCATTAGTATCTATTTAAAGAGAAAAATAAGAATAGCAGGATCACCCACCCTAATTCTTGAAGGCCTGCCCTTATTCCTTCGGCCCCTTTCATCTCTTTGCCGTCTGCGTCAACTACGCTCTTTTCTGTCTCTCGTTTCTCTCGAAAGATGTACCGATGCCTGCAGAGATAGTCAAAATCCCAACATGCTCTAAGCCTAAAACAAAGTGACAAGAGCAACTTACCTGCGGACGAAGATATAGTCACGCTGGTTGTGCAATGTCACGACCTGGCGCCCCTCGATGTCAGGCTGCGGTGGGAATAATGAGCGGAAAATAGCACCCGTCAAAATTCCAAGAGGCGTGCGAAAGTTATTCAAAATCAATTCAGGCCAATGTTCAGTGCCCACACCATGCCCAGGGATCCTTTTGCCATCTACCCAGTTGCTAATAGTAAAATGGAACATGGGACCCTTGGGTAAGTGGATCACATCGAGGCCGGACGGTCGTTTGGAATCTTCCTGGAGGACTAATACAGTAGTGTAATTTCGATTTGCTGCGAATGTTGCTATTTCTTTCAATGAAAACTTGTGGGAATACCGGTGCGCCGTACGACGGATATACTGGCTATTAGGGAAAAGGTCTGTAAGAGCTTTGGCTTCGTTGTGAAGGGTTGAGTTCTGCCTATGATTAACATGGATACTCAGTAGGCACCATTACAACACTCGCGCATGCTTAACAGAGAGTGTTGCACCTGGGTTGTAACAGCGAAGATATGAACCTACCAGGGAGGTCGTGATGAGAATCTTGGGTGTCGGTGGTGTTTCAGATGGGAACAACGATGGGAACTTGGCTGCCAGGGCCTCCGGAGCCAGGCTAAGGTTTATGCTCTTGGTCGATTGAGTCGGGCTTGTTGCACGCTCTGTGGAACACGGGAGAGATGATCTCTTGGACTTCCGAGACCTCTCGGTGTTTTCGTCGTCGTCTTCGCCGTCGTCGTCACTGCTGGCTAGCATGCTGTCAACCTCATCTTGATCATCGGAATCATCTTGCGATTCATCAGAATGCTCTAATGGCTTATTCCATTCCTCTTGCTCTTCTTGCTTTTGTTTGTTGATGCGCTCGACGTCGACACTCAATCCCAGACCGTCTTCGACATCACTATTGGCATCATCCCAGACCCGCTTGCGATCGATAGTAAGCGGAATATTTCGCTTTAAGCGCTCCTGCTTGAGCTTTGGGTTCTTAGCCTCTTCTTTCTTAATCCTATACCGTTCTGCTCGTCGGGTGGAGTCTTTGAGCCGCTTCCGCTTGATATGGAGGAGTTGGCGCCTGAGTTTATTGGCGGGTTTCACCTCTAAATTAGCGCTTGGAGGAGGCTTCGCCTGTGATTTTCTGGAAACCATCTTGGAACAGGGATAAATCGGGAATCCCAGAGGCGCTCTTCAGAAAATGGACATGAGAACCTATGGAGGTAGTTTTGGAGATAAAATTTGGCGGGAAAATGTTTCGCCGGCGGTAGGGATCGACTCGAAGGAGATTAGGGAGATAATTAATAACTTTTGATGACTGGTTTGAAAGGGGAAAGGGAAAAATAATTTCAATCCAATCCTTTAGCTTGTTTATTATCATTATTTTTTTTTCCCCTCGCAACGATCTTTCACTCTCTTTGTTCGTTTTTTCCTTCCTATATCTTATACTCCGCTTCAGTTTCCACTCAACCGTGTGGTGTTCCACTGCGACCGGTGCGGCTCACGTGGATGACTCAATTGGCTTCTTCGTTCATTCGACTCCTTCCTCTTCCCCGCCGCCAATTCCAATTTCCTCGTTGGAACCCCGCCATAGGCACGCGATCCTTTTCCCTCTCCCCCGTCACCTTTCGAGCCGCCCAAGTTTCTAAAAAGAAAACCACCCCCATGGCAACCGTTAATACCAAGACCGGTCAGGTCGTTGACCGCACGGTCTTGGAGTCGATGCTCCGCCGTCGTCTTTTTTACACCCCCTCCTTCGAGATCTACGGAGGGGTATCAGGTCTATATGACTACGGCCCTCCTGGTTGCGCTCTCATAAATAATATTGTCGATTTGTGGCGGAAGCATTTCGTGCTCGAGGAGGACATGCTGGAGGTCGACTGCACCATGCTGACCCCGCACGAGATTCTCAAGACTAGCGGACACGTTGAGAAATTTGCGGACTGGATGTGCAAAGACCCCAAAACCGGCGAGATCTTCCGTGCGGATCACTTGGTAGAAGAGGTTCTTGAGGCTCGTTTGAAAGGCGACAAGGAAGCGCGTGGCCAGAAGGTTGTCGTGGACGAAGAGAAGGAGGCCAAGAGGAAGAAGAAGGCTAAGGAGACCAAGGCCGTCCGGTTAGATGATGCTGTTGTCAAGGAGTATGAGGAGACTTTAGCGCAAATTGACAACTACGACGGCCCGGAGCTGGAACAAATCATCACCAAGTACGACATCAGAAACCCGACGACCGATGGCAATCTTCTTCCCCCCGTTGCGTTCAACTTGATGTTCCAGACTTCAATCGGTCCCAGCAGCAATATGCCTGGCTACCTCCGTCCTGAAACCGCTCAGGGACAGTTCCTGAATTTCCAGAAGCTGTTGGACTTCAACCAGCAGTCAATGCCCTTCGCGTCGGCCTCTATTGGCAAGTCGTTCCGGAACGAGATCTCGCCCCGTGCCGGCCTGCTGCGAGTGCGCGAGTTCCTCATGGCTGAGATCGAACACTATGTAGATCCGGAGGGCGGCAAAAAACATTTTCGCTTTGAAGAAATGAAAGATATCGAGCTTTCCTTGCTTAGCCGTGATGTGCAGCTGTCTGGAAGCACACAAACCACGAAGATGACAATTGGCAAAGCCGTTGAATCCGGTCTGGTTGACAACGAAACCCTTGGATACTTCCTTGCCCGCATTCAACTCTTCCTTCTCAAGTTGGGTGTGGACCCAGCGAAGCTCCGATTCCGTCAACACATGGCTAATGAAATGGCTCACTACGCTGCTGACTGCTGGGATGCTGAGCTGCAGACCAGCTATGGCTGGATTGAATGTGTTGGTTGTGCCGACCGCAGTGCTTATGACTTGACTGTGCACAAGAACAAGACCGGAGCGCCTCTTGTTGTCCGTGAGCCACGAGTCGAACCACTCAAAATTGAAGAATGGCAGGTCGACTTGGACAAGAAGAAGTTCGGCCCTCGCTTCAAGAAGGACGGCAAGGCTGTTGCAGCCGCTGTCGAGGCTCTCTCCCAGGAACTCCGTGAGAAGTTGGCTCTCGATCTGGAGCAGCAAGGCAAAATCGAGGTGGATGTGGAAGGTGTCAGCTTAGGCAGAGTTGAGCTGGATAAGGAATTGATCAAGATCGAGAAGCGGACACGGGTAGAGAATGTCCGTGAATACACCCCCAACGTCATTGAGCCATCATTTGGCATTGGTCGCATCCTGTACAGTACCCTCGAACACGTGTACTGGTCCCGAGAGGGAGACGAAGCGCGTGGTGTAAGTACTTGTCCTTCACAGTAGCACGTTAAATTGGCCCCCACTAACATCTGTGTTTTAGGTCTTGTCCTTCCCTCCAGAAATTGCTCCTACCAAGGTTCTCATTGTCCCTCTTTCGAACCATGCCTCTTTCCGTCCTCTATCACATCGTTTGATGATGAAGATGCGGCGCATGGGCATCTCTAACCGGGTTGACGATTCCTCGGCTAGCATTGGAAAGCGTTACGCACGCAATGACGAACTTGGTACGCCGTTTGGTATTACGGTTGATTTTCAATCGGTGAAGGACAACACTTTCACCCTGCGTGATCGTGACTCGACTAAGCAGGTCCGTGCTAGCGAGGATGAGATTCTGCAGGCTCTCAAGTCCTTGGTGGAAGGCGATGAGACATGGGAAGACATTCGCAAGCGACTGCCTGAGTTCACTGGACAAGAAGTTGATTAGATTATAGCTGCATTAGAAATGAGGTGAAGAGTGTTCGAGATCTTTGCGGATATCCGGCAGAAACTATTATTATGATCTCTACTTAGTATTTCTTCTTCGCTTCTCGATTTTATTCCAGAATAAAAGTCATTGTCTTAACCATTGATTGTAGATCTTACATGGGTGGAGTCCTTCTCTGTCAAGAGGGATGGGTTGAATTAAATTAACTCCGGGGCGGAACGTGAACAACCGCCGATGTCATCGGAAGCTTACTTGGCCTGTAACTTCGATTCCCTCCCTTGCTACTGAATACACACTCAACTCTTCCCTTGTCCTGGACGAGTAGTCGTCCTGATCATGGCGCCCCTCATCCCTTCGGCCAAATTGACGCTATCCTGTCCTCTCTTCGCCGCTGATTTCGATCCGCGCAATCATGGCTTTCTTCTTGTCGCAGGCGGAGGCGGCGAAGGGCGTAGCGGCGTTGGGAACAAAATTGCAAGTGCCACCCTATCCCTTCTGAAACAATGATTCTGAATCGCTCCGTCACTATATCTTAAATCCCATGTCTTTTGATTCTTATCAGTGCGCTAATACTCGAGGCACAATAACAGGCACTCTTGGACACATCCAAACGCAACGAGATCTCCGAGGTAGTCGATATCGAACTCTCACGCGATGAAGACTCCGTCACCTCGTTGGCAACGGCGCGTGCAAGCGATGATTCTATTATCGCCTTTGCCGGCATCAATAGCTCCGTAGCTGAGCAAAAGCTTGGCAACAACCAGCATCTAAGATCTTTCGAGATTGATTACCCCCCACGAAAAAGATCCTTTACGGATAACTCGAACGAAGAAGTCGCAAATCGGGAAGCAGAAGAAGAAACACACAGCCTTATTCCCCAGAAGACCACCGCATTATCTCGTGCGTCTTTATTCCGAACCAAAGGAACAGAGAAGGCCGGCGGCCCGGACACATACCAAAGGGTATTGCGACTCTCGCCGTGGAAAGACGTCGAGTCCCCGCGTATAGCGGCGGTTGCCACTGGGTTGGCTCCATCAGGAGAGATCGTTCTTTTTCATGTTACTCCTACACCCAGCACATCGGATATCATGGGAAGGATCCAATTGGGTGGTGATGAGGAAGCTGAGGATGTAGATATTACGGATTTGAACGATGGCAAATTCCAGGTTGCCTATACCAATGGCACTGACGTGTTCACCTGTCGTATCTCATCTTCAACGAGATCTAATGCATCACCTGACGTACACTGCGTATATAGCACGCCTTTGTCTGAAGCAACAACCAAAACCAGGCCCAAATTTCGAGCCCTACGCTTCCTATCCCCCACAATGTTGCTACTGCTTCGGAATATACCAGACCGTAAAGGCTGCGAGCTCGTGCTTCTTAATATACCGCAAAGGCTATCACCGAAATCAAAGTCATCTGCAACCATCATTCGGCGTAAGAAACTCCGCAAAGCAATCAAGATTGGACTTGGTCTGGACGTGTGCAATCTGGGCTCAAACCTCGAAAATCAGGAACAAACCATCATTGCCGTTTCGGGAAGTGACCAGTCTATTGAGGTCCTGACGCTCGAGTACAATCCTAGGAGAGGAGGTTACGGAAAGCTACGGCCCTACATTACCCTCAACGACGTCCATCCATTCTCCATGACAAAGATATGCTTCTCTTCTTTCATTCCTCCACCGAACCCAGTTAGGCCTGAGACGCCACCACAATATGTCAAGCTTGCCTCTGTTAGTATGGGCAATACCGTCGTCGTACACACGCTCCCCCTGGCCCCATCGCCACCCTCTAGTCGCTCACCGCGCTATGTGCTAGTCATGCCGGGAGATTCGGATGCTTGGGCTAACTTGATCAGTGGGCTGACTGCTTTGTTATCTATCTTCATTGTCTGCTTTCTCCTCCAGGCTTTCACCGAGATCAGGGGTGTTATGCCTCCGTATTTGGGGGCCACCGAATGGCTCCCCCCCGATATTCGTGCCGCCGTCGCCCGTCCATATCACCAACCTGCACCACATCCTTTAGCAGTTCCATCAGTCACTACGTCGATGCACTCAGCGCCCTCGTCGCCATTTCCCACCTTACATCACCGCTCCCTACGTGATCTTCTTCATGCCCGTCAAGCAGCGGACGCGATCGATTCAATCCTCGATAACGATCTTGCAGCGGACGACCCATTCCCTTCCGCTGCCTCTCTATCACATACCTCCATTGTTGTCCGTCGCAACCATGATACGGACGAGATCTTCATAGAGTCTACGAACAGGGCAGATCATAACACACCTGACAGGACCCTCCGCCGGTGGGAGGACCTTACTGAGAGAGATCAAATTACGTGGAAACAACAGTTGACAGATGCAGGCCACTGGCGTCAAGACGAAGGTGAAGCAGTTCTTCAAGGTGTTTTTTTCGATGACCGTTCAATCTAAAACGTTGCTTTTGGCTTTTGTTTTTTGTCGGTACACAGTAGCTACTGTCAAGATTGGGTATGTAGCCTGGAAGTTCTACGAAACGGAAGTACGGGATCGACAAAAGGAGAGGGGAAAAGAGAGGAGAAGAGAAGGGAAAATGCCACCTGAGTCTACAGGTAATGATTTTGATGTGACATTTCATCTACGATTGTACGGTTTGTCTGTGGCCAACTAGCCATCTATGCAAACACATTAGAAAGGAAGAAGACAAAAAATAAATGTGTGTTGCTACTATTCCACTCGATGGGCCCCTTCATAAATCAAAGTCTTCTAATAATCAAGAGCTTCTCAATGTATAATATTTCAGCTCCTCCCAAGGCAGCGATCAGGACCATTTCGCCCAACGTCTTTTGACGAGGATCTTTGGGCCACAAGGCCGATTGGTGCCGTGCGTTCCAGGAGACAGATATCCACAAACCCTGCCGCGCGAAAGCACACCGAGTTGCAGGTGGTTCGGATCATGCAGGTATCCAGTGTAAAGCGGACGAGAAAATTTCGACATGCGCATCAGAATTAGGGTATATCACAAAGCTGCCCGCAGGATCTGTATCTGCAGCTGAACCCCTTAGTGCAAGTTGTTTGAATGCTTGCTCATATATGAATACCCCAGTCACTGGGTCCGATTGCGAAATGAAGAATCTTTGGCGTTTCCTTGGCCAAGACGGAGGTCATATTCGGTCTCCATTTGCTCTATAGCTATATTCCATACCGATAGATGCACCCTTGGCAGTTCATTTTCGTCCTTGACTTCTAGTAACGAAATGCTCGGGCGGGGTAGCTGTCCCATTTAATGACATGATGGAACTCGATTTTGGACACGGGATGCAGGGATGTAGATCGGTATTTGTAGGCGCTTGTAGTCGATACACGATCAAGCAAGCAACACTAGCAGCCAAGAGACACGCCAATGCCCTGGAAGTATCAAGGCACGAGGTTCAACGTTGTGACCCGGTCTAAAGGAGACCGGATTTAGAAGCGACTGGCCGGTGTTATGCGTAATAGCTGAGGCAGTTGGGTTTCGATTCTAGGTCGGCGATTGCAGCCTCAGACCAGAGATTGTTTCTTGCAAATTGCCAATGCTGACACGTACCATGCTCAAGTTTAGAGGTAGACAACAAGGGCCCTATCACGTAGAAAGATATGCGCAATATTATTCGCAATCCGGTCAACGGTTGTCTTGTTTTGCTTCATCTCCTTTGTGTTATAGATGGGTTGATAGACGATCTGGCATTCAGGTACAGATGAGCCATTCCCAAATTGATAGACACAGCAGCATTCGGACGCGCCGCACAAAGCCTGCAGTGGTGTGAATGTTGATAATAGTAGGTCCAGGAGAGCGTAGGCCTCATTGGCGTGGCGACATGGCCCTGGAGCGGGAGCACCCTCTTGTACAGTACTGATGATGTCTGGACAGATGGTCATAGTAGTCATCATTCCAACCAGAATATGTTGGCTCAGAGTTGGATCTCTTGGAGACCAATTCCAGTTTCTGTATGTAGTCAAGAAAATTAAACCAGGTGTTACAGAGCGACCAATAGATACGATACCTCAGAAACTGTATTGTATCCTTTTTCAATACATGGAATGTTGACGGTAAAATAGAAAGTGTAATTAATTACCTTCCATGGACGATCTCCCGTTGCAACGAGAACATTTTTTTTGCCCAATTTTTTACCTATCAAACACCCAATGGAAACCCCAGGTACGCCTTTCCTATTTCAATTGGTACATATGTCTACATTCTCCGGTGGTGTACTGATACAGTCCTCCTAGCAGACTCATGGCACAACGTTTAGCCCTTTCATACTATAAAAACAACACCCAACACATTTTTAAACGTAAGACGAGAAGATCCATATCTTATCACAGTTCCAACAAAACATACCATCGTCCATGGCAACCCACATATCTCTAGTGAAAACTCCGCGCCGATTTCTCTTCATCGCGTCAATTGGAAATCCCCGTCCTTACCGCCAAACTCGTCACAGCGCCGGACATATCCTCCTCGATGCCTTAATACCTCTTTTACCCAACAGGTTTCCCTTGGTATCCACCAAACACCAGCCATCTGCCGGGCCCCTGTTCTATCGAACGTGGTATAGCCCATCATATATGAATGAGTCGGGTCCGAAGCTTGTCCGACAACTGAGGAACTGGATATCAACGACACAGACCGAGGTATTGGGAAAGGTGATCATGAAGGGAAATGTGGCGCTCCCTAAGTCAATCGAGGTCGCAGATTCCGAAAACCCCGAATGGCAGCATCGTGGCATTGACCCTCAGTCGCTGAGATTTTTAGCTCCCACCCTGGTGATCCTCCACGATGAACTGGAGGCGCCTTTGGGGAAAGTCAGAGTAAAACGGGGCGGGCCTGAAAAGGCCAGTTTGCGTGGCCACCGAGGTTTGACCAGCATCATGGAGAGTCTGCGGGGGAAAGGCTTGCACCCACCGCGTACAAGTCCTGGCGAAACTCGTCCGCATGAAGACCTTTCTGTATTGCGAATAGGGGTCGGGATTGGTCGTCCATCCACCCGAAACCGAGGCGATGTTGCAGACTATGTTCTCACGGAAATGAATGCCACTGAGTTGGCTGCAGTACGAGCAGCAGCTGGACCGGTGATGGACATTTTAGCAGACGAAATATATCGTGATGGTAGCTCGCTGTGATATTCGTGAATAACTGGTGGGCTGTATGCAGTTATCGCTGATGCTAAAATATTGTACAGATAAATAGAATCGTATAGACAGATACCCAAGACTAGCACTTTTAAGACACAAATCGCACCAGCGATGTCTGAAAATTCAGTGAAGAGGTTCGTTTGCATGTCCATATGCCGCACCATTCCATAATTCGGAGCCATTACCATCAGGATTGGGCGTATCTGCTTTTGGCTACTATACACATTCTCCCTCTCTTATCCTACTGGACAAGTAGAATTGGTTATTATATGTGATGACTCCCAGGCCTAGAGACCCTTAGAGAAGCAAGATAACAGACCCGGAAACAAGCCTCGACAGCATCAGTTCTGCAGAGCAAATGGCAAACAGGCCAGCAATGATACTAATAATTCAAAGATCAAACCGTTCCCGCTATACTCAAATCACGAATCTCCTGCAATACTTCTTCTACCCTGTTATCTAAATCGCCCCGAGCATACTGATCTCTTGTTTCCGCGTCAAGGTATTGTTGCACTTGTGCCATTCGAGAGTATGCCTCCGCGCAGAAACGCAGTTGAATCTTGACCAAAGCCTCAAAGCTCGGATCCAGATATGGCACACGCAGGTCAATAAGTTGCGGGAGTTCGGTAAAAAGTTGTTCATTCAACTGTTCGTATGCTTGCTTAGCAATTTCAGTTTCGCGCTCCGCTCTGGGAAGTTTGGTAGCGTCCTTGTCTGGCTTCTCGACCAACTTCTTCACCTTGGCTCGCATAGAATCATAGTCGAGTAACTTGTGATTGCGTTTCTTGATGCACTCATTGATGTCGGGAAAGTAAGCGCAAAAGCGCGAAATCGGTTCAAGAACGGTAGTTCTAATAAATCAGTTGGCGACAGCCATGGAATTTCCAATTTCAGAATGTCACACACCTGTATGGCCCATCCAGGGCTTTTATCGTCTCCGCATCAAGATCTTCCACCGCCTGTTTATAGCTCCTGCTCACGCCATCGCGCGTTCCAGCATCACCGTAGAAAGCATCAATTGTCTCCGCAATACGCATCTGGGAGGCAGTCATTGCTGTCATAACCAATGACTTAGCACTTCGCTCCATTTACCCCATTTACTCCATTCGAACGAGAGAAATCCTACCTCGTAATGAGTCTAGATAGCCTTTAGCTTCTTTTTGTAGACGGTTGGCAGCGGCCTCCATGGTCCGGTATCGCCTATGGATCCCATCAGTGACTGGCTTAGCTTTTGCCAGATCTCTCGAAGCCATTACCGTTCTTCAATTTCATAGTCACGATCGTTTGTCCTCTCCACATGACCTGTACAAGTTATACTATATCAGCAACTGGTCACCGCTCGCAACAACAGTTACTTGGCCGTCTCGAGCCGCGGGGATACAAAATAATGTACATACCCGTCTTCATCATGACTTGGGTGGTGGCACGGTTGACATTTTTCTTGAACCCTAAGATTCATAGACTGCATATCAGCACTTAACCTGAAAATATGTAGAAATAAGGGACCAAGGAGCTTTGCGCACCTGCCCAGGACATGATGACGGCTAAGCAGGCAGAACCGACTAAGCACTACTATAGGAAATGAAGCAAGTGGTGATGGTGAGAACTTTGATAGGATAACGTGCAGGTACTGTAGGCAAGAAGAGAATGCCTGGATTGTCTGGCGGGATATTAGTTAACGATAGTTGAATGTTCGAAAAGACAGTGGTGACCATCACGGGCTGGATCAGGTCCCAATGCGGGACTTGGGGGACGGAGACTCCCTCCAATGTGGCTATGTGTGGCTGTGTAAGTTGTATGTACGTAGTACGGAGTACGTACATTCATACAATGAGGCGTTTCTCCAGCCCTACGGAAGAACAATAATGTATAGGTAATTACACGCGGTCACATACAGTACGGTACTAAATTCCTCTCAACTGTCACCTCTTACGTCATGCATCCGGCTTGGATCCAGTACGGAATACATAAGGATGGTGATGTCAATTCGATCCCTCGATGGAGCACTCATTTTACGTTCGATATCAAGACTGACACCTGCTTGGTTCCTGGATCTAATACACCACTCTACCCAGTGGCGACTATGAAGACGGAGTATTATAAGCCCTCCATGTTAAATAATGACCAAGAATCACAGTTTCCTCAGAGAAAATTCTCTTTTCACTCAAAATATACCGTTACGCAATCAAGACACTCGGTACTTGTGATATATTGAGTAGAAGTATCATTGTATCTATCCTTTAAAATTGATCTTGATTGGTTCGATTTTAAAAAGGGAGTCCAGCATATCGCAACCAAATAGAACCGCAATGGATGAGGATGGCGGAATATAAATATAATTGAGAACCCTATACTAAGCAAAGCACATACGACTACTACGTTTAATGAGCACTACCTATGCCACCATGTAACTGTGACTTTAACCAAGCCCTAAATGAGCGGTCTTCCGGACCAAACGAGTAATAGAGGAATGAGTCTCGCCTTGCATCGCTGACTCCATGAAATACTACTGGTATTTGGTTCTCACATGCAACCATTCCACATTCTGACCACGCCCTTCCTATGTGGATCCTAGGATCCTGGAGAATCATGCTGCCTATTACCACCACACGACCATAAACCTTCTCGATGTCCATACATGCATTAGGGCATGATGCCAAGGAATTCCAATGCAAGGAAAAAGCAAAAAGGACTAAACGCCAAGAAAAACCATTTCATTCGACCAGAATCATGTATGGTACATTCTTATTGAGTAATCTCTCGCACTTTGAGGTCTGCACGAAGTGCCAAGTAAGCTTGGCATAGGATCGTCGTCGATTTCAAATGTCTAGACGCTGATAACCTTGCACGAAGTAGGTCAGGGTACTAGGCAGAAACTACAATGTCGGTTTGTGAAAGGGAGGTGTGAGGGCTCTTGCTTCTAGGAATATATTCGGACTGGGTACTCCAGATTTATAGTCAGTAACTTGTTAGTGCTGTAATTTGTAGGGGTATTGGCAAGGGCAAATAACCGTAATTACAATTGCGGAACTGGCTATAGAAGTCATATGTTTAGGACGTTTGAATTTACCGGCTTATAATTCAGCCAAGGAGGGGGATAATTAAATGAATAGACGGATGTAATAACGTTAGAATATATTGTAAATTGTCACTCACCACAGAGGGGGGGGGGGGGGGGGAATGCCAAAAAGCAAAAAAAGAAAGGGTGTCAAAATAGATCCAAAGTGATATGTAATTGTGTTTCACATGTAGATGAAGCTAGCTCAGGGAAGACTAATTTCGCTGCCAAGACATGCGCATACACATCGAGGTAGTCTATCAATGAAAACCAAAACAAAAGAAAGGAGATGTTGCCTGACGCTAGGAAGAACTACAGTGCAGGTGGTGATTTACTAAAAGAGCATAGCCGAGAAGCTCACCAAACCAAGTCATGAATAGTAAATGTTGGGTAACAAGAATCCATGTTGATACCAGACATATAGGTAGATCGAAAGGTATATTCACTAGGCCGAGGTCATTTAGACTATTCGATTCTGGCCACAGGATAGCAACTGAATTGGCGCTCCAGCCGACAGTGGTGATTTGGCAAATGCTAGACTAGACGTCGCTATACCCTGCCCTGCAGTCTAAGGCAAGAAGATACAAGACATCACAAGATGATAGAGACGACACATGTATTAGTCCCATAGGCAAATAGGACTGCTCCATTGAAAGCCCATGCTCTCCCCATCACTTCCTTGAACACTCCTAGAATCATAGCAGTGTCCTTTATAATTATGTAACTAAAAGGGGAGGGAGAGGGAGAGGGAGGGGGAGAGAGAGAAGCTGGCCTTGTTTATGACCGGCAAAGAAGATACATCAGGTTGTAGAGTTTCTGATAAGAATAGCTTTGAAACGAACAATGTAAAAGGGTATCCAAATAATAAGTGCCCAAACCCCGAGTACATAATGAAAGACAGTCCCACAGATATGCAGATCGCTGTAACTGACAAATATGGAACGCCCTTTGATAAACAATTTGGTTGATGAATCTCAGTATCAGCGTAACCCAGCCGGGAAACTAAATGTGCCCTCCATAGTGACCTACTCGAATGAGTTAGTAGGTCAGTAACGTCAACTTATCAGCCAGCCAAGAGCCCAGAAATGGAAAAAGATGAAAGACTGACGTTAACTCTGCATGCTGGATAGGTAGAACGATGGAGATACAAAATATATAATTAGTAAATGCAAAGAGAAACACGAGGGAGAAAGGAAGAGAGAAAAGAAAAGAAGCTCAGGGTCATGACTCTTCGTTGCATTAGCGTGAAAACATAAAACAAACTAAGCCCTTCAGCTAGCAGGCAGGCAAGACAAAGGCAAGACATGCGCCGGTATAGAAAGCAAAAGGACCTCCTTTTTATGGAACAGGTGAAGAAGGTCTAAACCCCCAACAAAACGGGATAAACAAACGAGCCACCCGGTTTTATCACAAACCTAGGCATACAGAGGCAGACTGTCACGCGATAGACAGAGTCTGGGCTAATGCTTAAAATCCGCCCAGGCTCTGCCGCCTAGGGATACACTATCTGCGAAAATCAAAGCCTCGAGGGCAAGACACACTGACTAGATCAAAATCCCTCCTCGCCAGCCTTGCACAGTTTGATCTCGCGAACCCATTCGGATTTGAGGACCTGCGAGGCGTTGATACGACGAGAAGGGTTTGGATCAAGGATGGAATAAATCACATTTCGACAACGAGCCTGCGAGCCATCCGTAAGCTTAGACGCACCAAATAGACGGTTATCGGCGCTTACCCGATGCAGAGTCTCAATCGGAGCGTAACCATCTTCATGCTTCCGACCTTCCAAGTATCGCTGATAAAATTCATCTTCGTCTTTGCGGGCTACCCTCCATAAATGACGCCCTGTCCTCATTGCCATATAGATTACACCAGTAGCCCACAGATCGACTGCTCTCGGGTCAAATTCCCTTTCGATATATTCTTCGGGAGCTATATAAGGAGCGGAGCCGCAAAGTCCTGCTGTCATGTGTGCTTCCTTTTCCCAGGCCATGCGGAAACACTCCCCATTTCCGAAATCCGTAATTTTGAGCGCACCATGAGTCGTCAACAACAAATTTTCCGGCTTGAGATCACGATGGGCCACACCCATTTCGTGCATGTATTCTACACCACGCATGAGCTGCTTGAAGAA